CAGTACCCCCACTACTCCATCTCCATAAATGAATTAAGGGCAGATACAGTACCCACAAAGTATTACGGAGTATTTCTTTTAATTTTTAGAGTAGTTCCCAGTGTACAGTACCCCCACTACCCATTTATGTTTTCTAAAATAAATTTAGGCGCATAAACTACCCGACCCGACCCACAAAGTCTTGTTCCTTATACTATTTAATGGGTCGTAACCCGCGAGTAGCAGGCTTAATCTTTTAATTAAGCCGACGAGAAGCAAATTCACTTCCTATTTATAGTCCACCTTATAAGGTGGACTATAAAAAGGTAGTAACTTTTAGTCTGCATTTCAAGAGACTTTTTTTCTCAAATTTTGTATTTAAACATCTTTCCTATTAACTCTATTAGGTCATTTTTAGGTCATTTTACTCCATTTCAATTACCTCTACCTACCAAACACTTCTAATAAAATCAGCAACCTGTTCAGCTCTCAGACTTAAGTCTTTCTTTAAGTTCAGTCCACTTTTCAAATAGTATTTCCAAATAGACCCATAGCAGTGTGTGAGGACTGAGGACAAAGGTAAAGCCTGAAGGCTCTAGTTTGTAATGTTAGTGTAATGCTGCAGAAAAAATTCAATATGAAGGTACACACTTTTGTTATTATAATTAATTAAATTCTACTCCCTCCGTCCCATTGTATTTGTCGAGTGTTCATTTTAGGACCGTTGCAATGTATTCCTTCACTTTCCATTTAAAGAAAAGAAAGAAAATGACATTATTTATTAGCCCTTATCTAATTTATCTCCCCCCCCCCCCTCCCTTCCAAACCCCAAAAAGCAAAGGGTATAATGATCAAATGGATTCACATCCCTTTATTACTTTTTCCTTGGTCCATGTATCACAAAATGTGGGCAAATAGACCGGGATGGAGTCACAAAGGGAGTAGTATTTAAATGTTAAAAGGTTGTTTGTGAAAAATCCAAGTAATCACGGGCTTGTTTGCTATTCTCAAAAAGCATGATGGCCATTTGATAATTTGACCAGGAAATGTAGATGTATGTTAGTTATCCCAATTTTTATAATTCAAGATGACAAACACCTGAAATAAATGGAGAATAATTCAGGGTTTTTATCAAGGGATTATGCCTACTGTCATTTTAAGCCATCAACAAACATAAACTTCCATACAGTGACAAACAAAAAACAAAACAAATAAAACATGACTAGAATCTATAATGAGATTAGAGAGCATACCTGGATAGTAAGACACAGCAGATTTGATAGTCTGTTCAAGCTTATCCGTGAATAATACTTAGACACAACTAGAATGTTCTGCAAGGTAAATTCAAGGAAATGAATTACCAAAATCTTATTAAAAAAGAAAAAGATGGGCACACATACAATAACTGGTCTATAAATGCAGCCGATATCCCACATCAATGCACGAGGCAGCTGCATGAACAGAACAAAAATGAAATGAAGATATCATAATTACATGTTCAATGACTCTCAATCTAAGATCTTCTGCTGCCTTGTCACCTAGGGCACCACCAAGCATATTCTTTTCATTCTCAAATTCGTCCTTAAATGTGGTCCATAAAGCATTCCACTGAATGACTTCCATGGTAATTAATTGTTTCAGTAGCGCTCTAAAACAAGGTAAATGGGTTTCATAAGCATATTACTCAAGTTGACCAAAAGCAGGACTCCTTTGAAACGCAAGAAGAAATGTGTCATTTTTATGGAGAATTGAGAAATGAACAAACTTGAAATGAGGGATTTCTGAAAGATTCTTATCCTCTAGTGTGGAGTTATGAAGGCTTGATTGCATAGGGTCATGTGGAGACAAAACCAGGTACCAGCATATTTTCCTCAATACCTGCATTGAACAACATGACTCATAAAATAAAACTTGTTTTCTCACAGGAATCATAAGAAATACTGCACATAGATGTATACACACAAAAAAATAACACATCCAAAGAAAATGATACTTAATGTGCTAATTTAGAAGATAACTTACTGGTATCCACTTTGTTGAGTCTTCTTTTACAGAAGGTATCTCATAAATGGATTTGTAACACCGGCAAATCTCAAGATAATCATTGCTGTGTGTGTAATACCTATATCAGAAGAAAACAAGATACATGTTAAAGATTAAGAAGAGAAAAATCTACACCCTTAAAAGCATGTGTTGTGAGATTTTAGGTTGACATTTTGCATCTTAACAGCATTCATCATATAGCCCATATAATATAACAGACAAGTCCAGTTTATATGCCTAGCTTATGTAGACAACCTTCTTAACATTTTGGCTCATTCATCAATGGAAAATATATGCAAATGCACACCTTTAAGTAATCATGCCAAATATTAACAATTTCTTCCATTTAATTCCATATATTAATTACTAAAACTATTGAGGGATGAAATTGGGTTTAGGTTCCACCCATGATCCATCAATAGAAAAATTATGGAAACCCACATATCTAGGTATCAATAACATATGTTAATAATTCGTTCCAGTTCGTACTATGACAAGATAGATAACATATAGGCAGTGGAAATCAAGAGCTATAACATATGGGAGGGATTCTCTTCACCTTGTTTGGTTGGAAGAGGGGAAGGAAAATATTACTTTCATTTTTTATTTTTTATATTTATAACTTTTTTTCATTTTTATTTATTTAGTTATTTATTATTTATTTAATTCAAGTAAATTGATTTATATTAAATTTCATTTATTTATTTTATTTTACTATAATTATTTACTTATTATTATTATTATTATTATTATTATTACTAACATTAGCATAATTATTATAATTATTTATTTTTTGTAATTTATAATTTATTTTACTATTTTTTATTATTTTACATCATTTAATACTCTTTATTTTAATTTATTTATTTATTACTATTATTAATATTTTTATATTTTTCTTTTTAATTTTTAATTACTGAGAATATATTTTTAATTTTTAATATTTTTATTATTTATTATTTTTATTACAGAGTATTTTATATTTAATTATTATTATTACTCGGGGCATTATTTTAGTTTTTTTTAATGACAAGATGGAGAGAAAATTGATGGAAGAACACGAAGAAGAGCGAAGGGAATGAGAAAACCTCCAATTTGGAGGGATTGATTTAGAGGGGAGGGGAGGGATTTAAAGCTAAAAATTTGGACCCCCATCCCTTCATTTTTTCAAACCAAACAAGGGGAAGGGCTTTCCCTTTCCCTTCCACCAAACAGACCCTAAGTTTTTCACAAGGACTTCCCATTTAGTATTTTCAGGAAACAATAGACAGGAAGCTTATAAGAACTGAAGAATAATGGAAAACCATTTAGGAAAACCTAACTAGACAAACAAGGATAAGAAAAACAATTCCAGATACCGAATCATTAATTCATAGTAAATCCGCTTCAACTCCAGTAGCGATGGAATGTCTGCAGGAGGTTCTTCAACTACAGCTTCGCCTTCTTTTGGTTTCTTCTTCTCTTTTGAAGTATCAGCCTCAAACACTCTAGGATTGATCTTTCGTGAGAGAATTTGTGCACGGACATAATCTTGACGGTCTAAACACAAACGCACCTGTACATAGATATATGCAATTAAAATGTTTTTTACATAATTTCTCCAAACAAAACATGTTTGAGGCTAGGTGATGAAGGCTGTCACTTACTTGCTCAAGAATGAATGCTATTTTTTCAGTTTTGGCCATTGCACCAAATGTTTCAACCTGTAACCCACACATGATCAACAGATTACTATGAAAAATAATACAAATAGTCTGCTTATAGTGGTACAAAATTAACTAAACAAAATGAATTTCTTAAACTATCAAGTTACCGCAATTTCTTGCATCAAATCAGCAGCCTCTGCTATAGACCCCTGCTCTTCTTTTAACTTAGCAAGTTTCTTAATCAATCTAGCCCGTTCAATCTCAACATATATCTGTGAGGGAACAATACAATAGAAGTTTTAGATAAAGTCTGAAAATGGTGAAAAAACAAAACATAAAATCTTCAAATGAATGACATAGAAGAGTGCTAACCTTCCCAGCAGACACATTGTTAAGTGTTTTAATAAGTTCTATCTTGGCTTCCACATCAGGAGTCTGATCAATGTACTCCATGGCTTGTTGAACCATGGCTTGTACAGCCTGCAAGGTCCCCAATAGAAGAAGTATCATTACTTGGTGAATACTTGGAATAAAGAAAAGAAACATTTGGCATTAAACAAAAAACACAAATTAAGATGCACGAGAATGGGTGCAAGAAACCATTTTCTATACAGATCTTGCATGAGTGTGGCAGGGGATTAGCAACTTTTAAGTGTGCGTGGTAGTTTTATAATACCAAAAAATAAGATTAAAAAAAACATATTATCAGCATATCATTTAAAAGACAGAGATTGGCCCATTGGTCATACATCCTAATTCTTTCATACTTAAACCAAATATAACAGCAGTGCATAGTTGCCATTGAACAAAGTGTTGGGCATAGTGGCCCAACTTTTCAGTTTTCTGACAGTAATTTATCCCCCCCCCCCACACCCCAGTGTAGGTGGGACAGCGGAGGGAAGCTCTCAAGCATGGAGCAAAAAGAGTAACAGAATGCAGAATCAGAGGGGCACAGCAAGAGCTCATGGAGGGCTGAGATATGACTAATTGAGTAGGTGCAGAGAGTGTAGCTCATTAAATGAAAGGTTTTCTGTGTTTTAAATGACAAGTCAGTCTGGTCAGAACCAACCAAACCCAAAAATTCCTCTAGATGTTCTGATCCTTGAGGATGATGGACATAACTTGTAGTATCATGTGACCCTACGAGGAAATAAGGGATTTTAACAGCACTGCCTGCAGTGTCCCGAATTAGGGAGGGGGGGATAAAAAGAGAATCAGGGGATAATGATTTAGTTGTGTTCAATAGTGTCCCCATGGTGCCAGACACTCATGCATCACATTTTGAGACGGGAGTTTGCCTTTGTGATGCTTGATCTGGGGATCTTTTGTAAAAAGCCTCTCTACTTTCGAGTATGGGTAAGGTATGTATACACTCATCCTCCCCAAACCCTACTTTTGTGGGATCCCACTAGGCTGTTGTTGTTGTTAATGTACTCAGCATAAATTGAAGGGTCCATGACTTAACGGTGCTTCTCTAGGTTTCTCAATCAACACACAATACATTTCCAAATAACAAGCCCATTCATTACAAATTTCCAAATATGACACTGCGAACAAGAAATGAATAGAGAGGCGGAACACACACTTGGAGAATGAAAATATACTCGCCCTCATAACTGAGCTTAGAATACAGTGTCGCTAGATAGTTATCGAACAAGAACAGGCAAATACATAGCAATTTTGAATGGGAAGATGACAGAGAAGTGCACGTGTTAAGTTGTTGTATCAGCTAATCCTCTAAGACATTCCTCACCAAAAAATGTTACCTTCTGGTTCTCCACATTAATGAGTGAAACAGGACAAGGGATACCTGTTTCCTAGTCTACATTCCTCACCAGAAAATGATAACTTCATGTTCTTCAAACCAAATAAAAAAAACTATGCATACATATTATCACTCCATTGATGGGAAAATGGATACCGATTTAGTGCAAGTACTAAATGAACTCTACAAAAAAATTTACACACACACAGGCAAAATGATGTTATATATCTATAATTCTCTGGCCTCCTACACCAAATCAACAAAAGGCCTCCTGCATAAATCTATAAAATTGTAAAAGTTCAAACACAAATATGGAATCACCAGCATTTAGTAAATGAACAATGAACTATTTCAAAGTTCGAACTAACACGATCACACAATGTACACATCTGTGTTCAGAAAACCCAAATTGACCTGCTTAAGTTGACCACGGCGCTTGGATAAGAGAAGAATCTGATCGTTCATGGTTTTCCAGGCACGTGCCTCGAAGCAGAGCTGCAGAATTTCGGAGACGGCCTTTCGAGTGCCAGCCACATCGCCGGCTTGCCTCATCTGCTTCTCCACATTCAGCAGCGCCTCTATCTGGGCCTCCAATTTCCCATCTCCTTCCTGGACAAAGGAGAGTTCGATTCGCAAAGTTCAAGATCTGAAAAACAATTTTCAAATAGAAATGCATAATGAAGGATGAAGAAGAACGGAAAATCTAACCATCGTGGATTCGTCTCTATGAATTCAATTCCAGAAAATTGAACTTTGACGCTTGAAGCCCTAACTAGAAAGAAAACATGGATTTGATTGTGAGGCTTTTATTAAGTATGAACTGCCTTGTGTAGGGGTAAACCTCGTTAACTTTTTCCGAGTTAGTATATGGTACAAACAGTTCTACCTAAAAATAGGTACATCCGGGTAGTACTCATTCTGAAGTAAAGTAGTACTCATTTTCGCACAAACATAACAATTTATTTAAAATAGCGTGGTACTCATTTCGAAATAACACAGTACTCATTTTGAAATACGTAATACTTATTTGCACACATTTGTACAATATTCATTTATTAATAACGTAATACTCATTCTAAAACCTAGTAATACTCATTCTCAAATAATCTAGTGCTCATTCTTAAACAACATATTATTCATAAAAATCCAAAATCTTACTAACCAAATTGGAATTAGAACATACAGAGTATTTGGAATTAGAGCTTTGCCTACCAGATCTGCGGATCGGGAGTCGAAGAAGTAGCGGCTATCTAAAGAGTCTAGAAGGAGGAAGGAGGGCTGGCTAAAACGGGCTTTGACGTCGTCTAGAGGAAGAAGTAGCGGAGTCTAGCTAAAGAAGAAGGCGTCGAGAGGAAGCTGCGTCGAAGGCTGGGCTGGGCTGGGTCCTCTTTTCTCTTCCGATCGACGCATTTTCTTCTTTAATTTACCGGTTGTACCCAATTTTGGGTACAGCCGGTTGTACGGTATAATTTGCGACTTTTTCCCGTTACTTTATTTTTAAGCACCCTATAGGATGAATTTTTTTATTTACAAAAAAAGTTCAATTATAAATTTTTTCATAATTAGAAATAATTAAAAATAATAGGGGAATTTACTTAAATTCGTAAATTCACTGACGACGTCTAGCACAAATATATGCTGCATTGTTACTTATAACTTTTGAAAAACTTCTTTGTTACTATGATCCGCGCTCAAACCTGACCTAGCCTGCAAAGGCCCGTCTAAAAAAATGAGGGTTCGATCTTAAGTTTTTGTGTTTAAGAACTTGTTCTATTCAACCTAATTTTTAACTTATTACTTATTCTTATTGAAAGAGATTGAATCAAAAATAGCTTTAAAAATAACAGTAACCAGACCAGATTAGAACCAATGAGGGTTGAGATTAGACCAGTATGAACTTAATTAGATCAGCTCGGCCGATATGTTGCGGGGCTTGTATAATTAAGGGTCTGTTCTTTAAAACTGTAAAAAAAGAGCTGGATGTTGGAAGAAACTGGAAAAAAATGGAAGGAACTAGAAGAAACTGGAAAAAACTAGAAGGAACTGGAAAAAATTGGAAAAAACTGGAAGGAACTGGAAACACTGGAAGGAACTAGAAGAAACAGGAAAAAACTAAAAGGAACTGGAAAAAACTGGAAAAAATTGTTTTCTTCTTCTTCTTTTCTTCTTTTTCTTCTTCTTTTTCTTCTTCTCGGATCCCACTTCTTCTTCCGTTTTTTGCGACTGACTTCTCGGATTTCTGTGATTTACGGTTGTTTCTCCTTCTTCTTGAATTTCTTTTGCTTTCAATCTTTTTCTTTTTTTGCTTTCAATCTTTTTCGTTTTCTTTTTTTTTGTTTTTTTTTTGTTTATGATTTTCTATTTTTTAAGCTTATGTTTTTATTGTTTTCTTTGGTTTTACTTTTCATTTTTTCTGTTTTTCAAATTTATTTTTTGTTCTTTTTCAATTTTTTTTTCTATTTTTTTCTGTTTTCAGTTTCTTTGTTTTAAAATTTATTTTTTTCTATTTTTGTAATTGATGGCCACTGGAGAAGCAAAGAACCAAATTACTTAGGGATATTTAGATAATTTTTTGTGTTCCTTACATTACCTACTAAATATCCAAACACAATTTTTTAATTTCTTATCTTACTTTCACCAATGTTCCCATGACATTGGGTTCCAATGTTATGGGATGACCCGGGGGTGCTCCAGTGCCCCGTTCGTAAAATTGACGGTTCCTACCCCCTACCCCCCGGTAAACCCCCCACCCCGACCCCGACCCGAACACACCCCCTACCCCCGTCAATTGCACCCCACAAGTTGATTTTGACTTTGGAGTCAAATTTTGACTCCAAAGTCAAAATCAACTTGTGGGGTGCAATTGACGGGGGTAGGGGGGTGTGTTTGGGTCGGGGCCGGGGTGGCGGTTTATCGGGGGGTAAGAACCGTCAATTTTACGAACGGGGCACCGGAGCACCCCCGGGTCATCCCATGACATTGGAACCCAATGTCATGGGAATCCCACCCTCTAACTTACATACTTTACATTACCTACCTTCAATTACCTATCTAATAAAACTTAACCTATCTCCTACCAAACACAACTTAAAATTATGATAAAATTAAAATTATGATCTCTTCCCTTCGCCTACTCGCCTGGCCACCTGCAATGAATCGACTTCTGAAGACAATTTCTAGAGTTTTTAGGATTTGAAAGAAAAGAGAGAAAGAGAGAGAAATCACTCTCCCAAAGATGAAAGTTCATGGCATAGCTGCTCATAAACTCAGACATGGGTTGGAGCTTATACATCGTTCTGCTACTGGGCTTCAAGTCCCGGTTGCTGCCACCATACTGGGGATAGCCGGATTGGCCTTCGCCATTAAAGATTTCAAATTCTTGAACCTCCCCAGTTTTCAATGGCCGTCCATCTCCAATACCGATGAGCCGTTGCTACTACCAGGATTGCAAAATCTGGGAAACAATTGTTTCTTGAATGTAATACTCCAGGTATGCGTTTGATTGTTGAATTTAATTGGAGTTATCACACGTCTCCTAAGTATAAATGCCCTCTCTTAGTCACTTGTTGAGAAGATTTTGATTGAGTTAGACACCGCACTTATTTGTAATATACTGTCTAGATTGCTTGTTGGGGAGATAGATGGGGACATTATTCATCGAACTAGAGCTGCTTGGGCAAAAAGGAAGCTTGCCTTAGGGGTCTTATGCAACAAGAAGATATCAACCGGCTACGGTTTACAGAGCGGAGTGCTGGGAAGCAATGAAAATCCAAATACGTCAAGTTCATGTGGCAGAGAATAGGATTTTGTGGGAAGTGTGTTGGTAGACGAGGTCAGATAAGATTCCAAACACAGTTATTCAGGGCTGGGTGGGTGTGGCACCTGTGGAGGATAAGCCGTGGGAAGCGAGGTTGAGGTGGTTTGGGTGCGTGAAGTGGAGAAGTGCCGAAGCCTGTGGAGATGGAAAACGGTAGTTTGTGAGAGTGAGAGACTGGGTAGACCCAGGAAAAGTTGGAAGGAACTGATCAAATAGGACTTAAGAGTTAAGACTTCTAGGCCTTACCGAGGATATGACCTTAGACATGAATGTTTGCACATCTAGGACTAGAGTAGGTGGGTAGTCTTTTAGGCCTTGGGAGTAGTAATGACACTAATGTGCGGATGTTTTTTGCTATTGTCTTTGTGTGCATCTAGTGCTTGGGTTCTAATTGCTAATCTTTGTGCTTCTTGTCCTTGTGCGCGTACCTTTGCCATTAGTTTGCTCATTTCTCATTGCGACTACTTTGTTCATGCTTTGTGTTCTCTTTGCTGGTTTTCGACTTTTCATTAACTGTGCTTGAGCTCAGGGTCTCTTGGAAACAACCTATCTACTTTTCAATAGGGGTAAGGTCTGCTTTTAGACACCTTCTCCAGACCCTCCTTTTATTGAGATTTTACTAGGTTTGTTGTTGTTGTTGTTGTTGTTGTTTTGTCTTCATCATCTAGATGGGCATTAGGTGTAATGGAGTTACTCTTTTATAAACATGAGGTACCGTTTTGAAGTTAGGACCAGTACTTATTCTTAATACATTTCAATTATTTCCTTTTAAATTTTTTATTATAAAGTTTTTAATGTACACTCACAACTTCAAAATACTTATCTAAATTGAATTCATAAATCATTCAATGAAATACAGTGTAATGATAAATTACAATCATAAAGTGGAACGTGATTTGCTTCAGAAGCTACGGAAATCGAATGCTACTGTCTTACTGAATAGATGGAGAAGGCTCAGATTGCTTCTGTTTTGCCACTAGGACTCCGGAAGAGTATTGGAGTGAAACATACAAAATGGAGTGAAGGAGACGAGTTAGTAGAGTTAGTGAGTTACTGTGGATATCTAGTTAATGCAATCCACAATTATAACTCCACCATACGTATCTCATCGCCTGCATTACTTCTTCTCGTGCTTAGTACTACTGGTATATCTACTTAGATTACTTAAAGCACATGCTAGATCTGGCATAGTTTAGCTCATAGGATACATCAAGCTTTCAATAACTCTCGTCTTAGTTCTTAGCCCGGTGAGCAAAGATGTCCAAATGCGATTCAGCCACTTTGTCACTTTGACATCATCCTCCTTGAATTTGTCAAGGATCTTGTCAATATAATGAAATTAGCTCAAAACAGGACCGTTTGGTCTTCTCATAATTTAAATAATAGGATTAATTCAGCCACACTCATATCTTTCATGTCAAACAAAGAGCTTAACAAGCTCTTGATAGATTCGGCCATCTTGTCCGCTTCATTGATTTTAAAATAAGATGTTATCATCATGTGGTTGAATTTTTCATGACATTGGTTTGGCACTTGTTTCAGACCATACAATGATTTAACCAACTTATGGACATTCATATCTGTTCTTGAAACTATAAAATCATCAGGTTTTTCATATAGATCTCTTCATCTTTTCATCTAGATCTCCCTTAAGGAAAGCTGATTTCACATCCATTTGGTGAACTTCTAAATTTCGCAGTGCCGCGATCGCGAGTATCACCTAATGGCATTAGAGAATATGTATTAAAGTAACCAAAGCCTTCTTCAGTGAGTAGCTTTTATTGCAACAAACCTAGGTTTGTATTTGTTAATGGAACTATCACGTTTGATTTTTCTCTAAACCCACTTCGGACCCAATGACTTTGGAGGTTGGATGACTAGCTCTCAAGTGTGATTGAGTAAATTAATACCACTTCACTTTGAATGTGCTCTTACCATTGAGGACCATGTAATGAAGTAACTGTTTTGTCATCAACTCGTGGTTCATTTTCTAGCAAATATGGTAAAGTGTTGGGTTCGTGCTTTGACACATATGGCAAAGTTCTCAGTTCAAGTGGTTTTGTCAGAAAATTACTTACGGGTGATGCGAGTTTTGTCGAAATAACTCTCAGGTCCCTCTATTTTCAAGAAGACAACTGAGGTCCTTATATTTTATTGTAATGACTGGGAGGGGACATTTCATCCAATATTTCATCCATAAGTGTTAATAAATGTATTTTTTTCCTATTTTTCCATTACCGTTTTTTTCTTATTTTGCCATTACTTGGTTTTTTCTTTTTCAGAAAATATTTTATTTCATTTATTTTAATATAATACAAACAATTTTGAATTTTTATCCAATTTTATAGAAGAAATTCTAAAATAACACTTTAAAAAAGAGTAACAAAAAAAAAAGAAAAATAAAGAAATAAAAAAAGGACCGACCTAAGATTTATTACCTTAAAATATTTAGAAAAAAAAGGAAAAAAAATACATTTATCTACGTTTATGGATGAAATATTGAGTGGAATATCCCCTCCCAGTCATTACAACAAAATCTAAGGACCTCCGTTGTCTTCTTGAAAATAGAGGGACCTGAAAGTTATTTCGACAAAACCTGCGTCACCCGTATTTTCTGGTGGTTTTGTCTACCCTTTTCATTTTACTTCGTCTTGGCTAAGTCTTGATTTCGGTTCATTGTCAGTACTAGCATGAGGCTCGTCACTTAGATCTTTACTTGTCATTTTTTTGTGTAAACATTGGATAAACTTGGTTCATCACTTAGTTGATATGGAAATACAAGTTCAAAGTGCATATCATTTCTCGATTCCATTATTGGGTTTTTGTGATTCTTTCAATTATCGGATTTAGTTACAAGAAATCGATATGAGCAACTCTTGTACCCCATGAAGATTCTGCCTACGGTTTTTGGACCTATCTTCGTTTTATTTGGTGGTGGGATCATAACTTTCGTGAAGTATCCTCACACTTTCAGGTATTTGTGTTGTACCCGAGACCCGGGGTCTTATCGAGTAGCTATTTTGTGGCGGATTTGCGNGGAATGAAATGGGCAGAAATAAAGTGAAGGGATAAACCAAGTTGGTGTTAAGAGATATGACACACTCTTATCTTAACTTGGGGCTTTTATCTTCTTTTACACATTAATAATCACTACTAATGTATAAAATTAGACTCCTAACACGCACTCAAAAGTAGCCAACTTTAGAGATATTTCATTAGGAAATTTGGTTAAAATAGCATCACACTATTTTAAAGAATTACTCAAAGAGTAAAACAAAGACTTTTAATTCAATAATCTGGTTATTACAATGGCCTCATGGCTGATGTATTTATACAACAACAAATAAGGAAAAATACAATAAAGGAAACTTCCTACTTCTTTCCTAAAAATCAAAGATTAATGTCCTTCCATGTGAGCTGATTTTCCAAGATGCTTCTCCTGATTTTGGGCTGATCTTCCTTGGGTTTATTTAGGGAGAATTTCGTGCATATAAGGGAGAAAACAAAGGGGAATCAAGCTTTAGACTTTTTTGAATAAAATGCCAAAACAGCACTGTTCATTCAATGACTTTGTTTCTGATTTTGTTCCTTTGTTTCAAAAGTGATTATGCTTTTGTTTTGTGAAACAAAAGACTTTATTCTTTGTTAAAAATCAGGGGATAATTTCAGCTTTATATCCAATCTTAGGATGAGCAAACAGGAACTGATTCACTCAGGGTTCAGAGACGTAGGAATAATCGATTAGCACATTTAGTAAATCGATTAATTGAGTTTAGCTCAAACTGGGAATGTTTTGAGGAACCCGATAATCGATTGACACTACAAGACAATCGATTTACAAGGACTTATTCAGAACTGGATATTTTCTGAGGGTGAGGATAATCGATTACCAAGTTATTGAAAATCGATTATGAGAAGTTATGGACTTTGAAGAAGAATCTGCGGACTTCAATAGTCGATTATCAATTAAGGATAATCGATTATTTAGGGGTTCAGAATCAGGATTAGAAGAAAAGAAGGGAAGGCATTATTTGGGTAAAAAAAAAGGATTTGAAAATAAACAAAGGTTTTAAAAGATAATAAGAAACTAAGGTTTGACTTGTCTTCCTTTGATTTCATTTTTTGACCCGGAGTTAAAAATTGATGGGAAAGACTTTATTTTGAATTAAAGAAAAGAAAGAAGACTTTTGGATGTGTGGGGGAGTTTGGGGTTTTGGTGGAGCCATCCAGGGGTACATCAATTTGTATGAAGACTTCCTCACCACAAGTCGTAAGACATCTTATCGATCTTTTTGGGTTATTTTATTTAACCAATAGTTGCTAGCTAAAAAACCCTCACCCCACCAACACTAGAGTAACCTCAAAGTACACAACACCACATTTATCATGTCTTTCAGAGTGTCTTTTTGTGTTTTTCTACACCATTTATGGAGATGTCACTCGATGTGCAATATCGTGTTGTGCACAAATTTCACAAAGCAGAGTGTTATACTCCCTGCCTGATTAATTCTAATCGCTTTGATTTTTTATTGAGTTGATTCTCAACTTCATTCGTATAAAGAATTAATTTCTTGAATACCTCATCTTTACTTTTAAGTAAATAAGGATCACAATATTTTGTGCTATCGTTAACGAATATGACAACATACCTATTGCCACCTCTTGTGGGTGTTATTCTAAAATCACACAAATAGCTGTGAATTTGATCTAGTGGCTGTGTGGTTCGTTCTATCATTAGGAACAAACCTCTCATTGATTTCGCTCAATGCACTTTTCACATTTGTGAGACTGATCAAATTTAAATTTGGGTGTGCATTCCATGTTAATTAATTTCCGTAAAGACTCACTGTTAACATGTTCTAGTTTACAATGTCACAAAGTGGAAAAGTCACACAAATAAGCACATCATACTCATAACCTTTGCCTTCAAATGCACTTTTCTTGCTTAGAATTACTTTGTTTGGCTCAGACACAATACAGAAGCGGGTTTTGTTCAAAAGGGAGCTTCACACTAGATTGTTACTAATTCTCAGCACATACAAACGTAGTTCAACGTGAGCTCCTTGTTGGACGTCATCTTAAGCTTCATCTTACCTATGCCTTTGACAGCAGATTGTGGCCATTGAGACTTTGTCACCAGTTAACTTTTGAAATCCATAAACATTGCATGATTGGAGCACATATGCCAAGTGGCTCTACCACTCCATGTTTGACCTGACCATGTTGACCTCGGTCACAACAATGCATAGATTCATGTTGTCCAGCTCCATAACATTTGCCTCCTACTTTTTTTTTTGGTTTCTCTTTGCATTCCAAAGAGCGAGGGGTGATACCACAATTATAGAACTTCCTTGCGAGCTTTGTTTTTGCTCCACCACCTTTAAGACTGAGCTTTTTCTTGCCTTTGTTCGGATTTGTACCATTCAGATATTCCACAACATTTCCCTTGACAATTGACATTGAAACAACAATTTTCTTCTCCCAAAACATGTTCTTCTCTTGAACTCGGAGATGGGTAAGCAATTTCTCAAGGTACTTTTTTTTTCATTTATGCATGAGATATGCCCGTCACTCTTTTCAAACGGTGGGAGTTCGTGAACTATGCTCTAACTTGAAACACTTTACTTACTCCCATCTCCTCATCGTTGAACTCATTGAAATGAGTTGCATCTCTTCAGCCACAGACTTGGAATCCACCATTTTAAAGTTCAAGACATTGTGGACAACAAATTTCTTTGCATTGACATCTTCAACCTTGTATTTCTTCGAGAGTGGATTCCAAAGTTTTTTTTCCCATTCTGCCTTTGTGTACGCGGAGTACTTCTTGCACATAGGGTTCAGCCTGCATATGTGATCGATTACCTGTGGTGCTTGGGGTTTCTTTGGACACAACCTCTACTTTTGAGTAGGGATAAGGGGTAAGGTCTGCATATAACACATCCTCCCCGGACCCTACTCATGTGGGATTCAACTGGGTTGTTGTTGTTGTGTACTTCTTGCACAAATAATAGTAATGACACCAAGCCTTTTTCGCTTTAACATTGTTGTTAACGTTACCCCTCACGCTGAAATCCTGAGAAATGTTGAAAGGTCGAGAACAATGAGCCAAAAAAGCATCTTTTGTTGCTACATCTTGAAGTTCGCTCTGGTAATCTTCAGTGGTTTTCCGTCAGAGCGAGCAGATATCATCACCAGATAATTTGAATCTACGCCACAACGGTGTTCGCCGGTACCGATGCCATTGGAGCAGTGGACTTGACACAAGGCGATGGAATTTAATTGTTGTCATCAATGACTTTACTGTTAACATTTACGAAAGCATCGTGTTCCACCATTTTGCACAGTTCGATATTGTCTTATGTTTGTTGTTTTGGGTGTGTTCAGAAACATGGAAAACTAATCAAAGTTGGTTTTCTAATTACTCGATCAGATACAATGAAATCGTAAATTACAATCATAAAGTGGAAGGAGTTTTGCTTCAAAAGCTACTCGAATTGGGTGCTACTGGACCGATGGAGAAAGCTTAGATTGCTTCTGTTTTGCGACTAGAGCCCTGCTACTCCCGCATATAGGTTATCCTTTTATTCTCTCATAAATGTACTTTATGATATCATAAAGTCTTCCTCTTTTTAAGGAAGCATTTAATAAGCTGTGTTTCCATTGTGGGAACACATCCCACTTTTTAAAGAAACTCTACTCATTAGTATAAATTACCAATGACCGGGTGTAATTTAAGCATTAATTTCTCATTTACCTGTTAATCATTTTTGGTGCACAATATATCAAAACGTTTGCTTCACTTAGGAGAACACATTTTCATTTCGTATATGCCCAAACCCTCATTGGATCACATTGATATTTATGCCCAAAAATGGCTGCCCGTAATCCCGTTTGGCTAAAATATTTCCAACATAAGACTAAGTAATTGATCCCGAGACTCCAACAACATCGACATTGTATTATGTTTGTTGTTGTCGTTGTTAAATTGTTGATTGTAAGCTTGTGAGATGCGGATGTGTTATGTAAGCCTCTCCTTCCTCATTTATGAACTAGGCCTTGGCTAGCTGTAAGAGTTTCCAGAAGTTTCTGGAGGGAGTGGTGGCGGAATTCAGGGGATCATCCATGGATGGTAGTGCGGAGAGCTCGTCTCTTGCAGATGCTTTGTTTAAGCTATTGGAAGGTGAATATGGAAATACTGTAATGTTATTGCCAGCCTTTAGCTTTCATAATACAGGACGGTGGGTTCTATATGCTCTACTGCTGATATACTACTATTATTATTATTACTATTATTATTATTATTATTATTATTATTATTTGTTTGTGTCCCCTGCTGCACACACTAATTGAAGCTTCAAGAAGAATGTTCTCCAGTAGAAGACCTGTTGTTTCAGTGATTGTTCCACCTAGCTGCTTCTTGTTGACATTTTCTGAATCTCGAACTGCTCAAGATTAGGGCGAATAAGATCTCTATGCTCTTGATACATATTTCTTTTACATTTTGAAAAATCCCATTTTTTATTTGAAGTACAGAACATAGTCAAACGGTGGGACTTTTCTTTTTTTCCCTCCCCTTCCCATTTTCTTACACCATGTTTGGTTTAAGGAATTTGAAAGGGAAAATAAAAGAAAAAGATATGGAAAACAATTTTTCTTGTTTGGTAAGAGTGGTAAGGAAAAGAAAAGCGGAAGGAAAAAATACAACCCAGCACGGGAGGGTGTGGTAGGCAGACCTTGACCCTACTCGAAAGACCCTACTCGAAAGTAGAGAGGCTGTTTCCAAGAGATCCCCGACTCAAGCTGCACCGATATAAAAGATCACAGGCGATATATGAAGCTGAGAAGGTGATACATAAAGCAGAGAGAGCACACATCACAATTCTTACAGAGGCAAAGAAGAAACTAGAATTAACGAAGGGAAAGTAATGCAATCAAGAAGCACCAAGCAAACACCGTGGAAGGAAAAAATGAGAGTAGAAAATAAACTAAGATGATGGAAAACAACTTTTCTTCCATTTTGGTGAGGAAAAGGAGAGAAAAATCATTCTTTTTCATTTCCTTTCGAATTTCACAAACCCAACATAATTCAATTCTTGAATAGTAAGCATTAAAGTGTTGGTCCTTTATGCACTACCTTAGTTTGCAGAAGAATTTTTGTATAACTATTGTGTTTCTTAATATCATTCTTCTGTACATTAACTTCTGACCATTTGATATTTTTTTGTGCATCCGTGTATATGTGTGTGTGTGTGTGTGTGTTTTAATACTTTCTATTACTTCTATAGTGACCAGTTTTTATTCCCTGACTTGGGGACAGTTGGGGACATTACAGAGTTTTAACTTGGTTTTCTAAGGGTAAGTTTGGGTGGAGCGATTTGTTTCAGCTGTTTATCTATTTGCATTTTCCTGAGCTTATTGCCATTGTTTCAACAAGAAATGATAGTTTGTGTTATCTTAAGTCTGTGTCCCAACTTGTATAAATTTTAAGCATAGTGCATTTTCCTAACAATTAAGCCTAAACATTTTTAATAGTGGGAGATAACATGATTTTGGGCCTTCAATAAATACATGAAATATTATAAGGGATCAGCATCTTTCTTTTAGATTTCATCACAATAGTACTGCTTCTATATGTATTATTTTATTGATGTGGATGTTATGGTATAAAGGAGTATCTTTAGGGGCATGATCTCCCATTCTCCCACATCGAAGTAATATATGAATATATTACGAAAATATAATGTCAAGAATTACTCATTCTAACAGTGTTACCACATTCTAGGACAAAGCCCCAAGTCATAATATGCCATCAACCTGTTTAACTTAAATGAATGATTCGATCTAATAAAGGCCCATGTCACTTATATATTGCCAATATTGTGTGTTTGGTGTGCTTCTTGTGCGTGTAGCATAATGATTACAAAATGTGGAATGCGTGGAACACACACACACACATCAACTCATCAAGCATTTCATTTTCATGTCTATGCTAATTAACTAATGGCATTCTATCTAATATCCCTAAGAACTCTGCACACTTCAACATGGAAGAACTGTGTTAAGTCCGCAAGAATTAATGCACGCCATGAATGATTATATTCCAGATTTCAACTTGACAAGCCAACAGGTATAAGTTTCTGTTGTCAGCTTTGAACAATCACACCCAAAAAAAAGAAACTGTAATTGTTCTCCCTAACTAATTAATTGGTTTTGTAGGATGCAGAAGAAGCACTATCCCATCTCTTATCTTCTTTACGGGAAGAGTTGTCAGATTCTTATGTCCCCGGATGCAGCTCGTTCGCAGATGTGACAGCTCTTCCTGATTATAGGGTTCTGGGTTTGAAGAAGTCCAGACAAAGTGAAAGAGAAAGATGGAGACAATTTTTTATCGGGCCTTTTAATGGAATTCTTTGTAGCAGCTTAACGTGCCAAAGCTGTTCGTTTCAGGTATGAGTGGGACTTGAAAGGTTATTCATATTTATCTGAATGTTACTCTACTGGTTCTTTCTCCAGCATGGAACTCTTAGAGCTAATTCTTATTCCATGTTCTTTTTCCTCCCAGATTTCATTGGATTTTCAGCTGTTTCAAACTTTACACCTCTTACCGGTTGCCAACAGTGATGGGAATATTGTATGCTTGAAAAATCATACTCCATATCTGTATATGTCATTTTTCACTTTTTAGTTCTTGTTTGAGTGCCGTGAACAAATTTAGGTGGGGCGATGCTCTGTGGTGGATTGTTTAGAACGGTTCTTAGTTGCAGAGCAACTTGAAAATTACTGCTGTTTTCGCTGTTGGCATATTGCTGCAATAAAGTATGCATCTAAAATGTGTGAAGATCAGGTAATGAGTATAAATAAAAAAAATGCAGCTTTTTTAGATTGCAATATGAGCTGTCATTTATTAATGACTAAATTTCATAAATGATCCCTAATTACAGGTAGTTTTCCATATTTAATCCCCAATTCCAAGATATTACATAAATGATCCTCAATTTTTAAAACTATTCCATAGTTAGTCCTTTAGGCCAAATATGACTATTTTTTCCACATATAGCCCTGAAGGACCGATCATGTAATAGCTTCCAAAAATTGAGGACCATTTATGTAATAACTTAGAATTGGAGATTAAATATGGAAAACTAATTATAACTAGGGTCCATATATGGAATTTACTCTTTATTAATCTAACAATTAGTGAGTATATATTAAGGTCCATTTTTCCTGCGTTACACATGTGCAGATTGTTATCGAAAAGCTAAAGCTCTGTCACGAGTTAGATTCATGTAATTGCAAAAATATGTCTTGCCTTAGAGAAATGCCATGTCCAAATCGATTCTGGCGAACTTTCAAGCAATATAGTGTTGCCCACAGCCCACAGGTACGAACACTTTGTTTAATTTGTTTAAAGAAGGTGCACAAAAAACATGATTACTTCCATGGCTCGGCCATTATTGCTTAACTTGATTGTTTTTCTTCTTCTTCTTCTTCTTCTTCTTCTTCTTCTTCTGAGGTTTATATGAATGATCTCTAAATTGCAGATCTTGTGCATCCATCTCCAACGCGCCTCGGTTAATGCCTTTGGAGAAATAGTCAAACTTCAGGTATGTGTTGTGTGGCATTTTAAGCATGAAGTAATGACATGATTGTTAATGATGATAATATATGTGGACATGAATGACTGATTTGGACTGATTTGGGAGTGCTTTTTTTTTCTAACAGGGCCACATATCTTTTCCCTTGGTCCTGGATATGGCTCCATTCACAAAGACTCAAGTGGGAACAAAAACCCGCGGCGAAGGAGGAAAACAGATTTGCCCGGCGAAACAACAAAGTGCCCAACAACATTTTCCTCTTCCCAATGCCTCAAACCTGCAACATGTTAAAGATATGCCAAATGGCATCGTGCGAAAACCAGAAACACTCTCTTCATATGCCAAAGATGGTGGCGAATCTGGTGAAGAGGAGAAACATATTTACAGCCTGGTTTCAGTGGTGGAGCACTTTGGGAGAGTTGGAAGCGGTCATTACATTGTTTATAGAAGAGTAGCGCCAAGCATTAGCCGCGACAATCACACCGGATCTTCCCAGGAGCAGTGGTATTGCATCTCTGACTCTCAAGTGGATGTTGTGTCTGAGAAAGAGGTTCTTGATGCTGAAGCTAGCTTGTTGTTCTATGAAAAAGTATATGCACTCTGAAACTTATTTTTATTTATTTTTTTGTTTTCTTACAAAAGTAAATTGGATATTTGTTTCAATGTCTCTTCAAAATTGTTTTTATTTTCCAACCAGTTAGCCTCAACATTTTTTTTAATTATTATACGTGAATATTTTAAATAAGGAAGTTTAGCAATTGAATTAAATTTATGCGCAATTTAAACTGAATTAAGTTTCTGACTAGTTTCAGTTTTTTTTTCACGAAAAACTGTTCCAAATAATTGCTGCAAGGAATAATCCAAGACTCCCACAACGGTCAAATGGGAGGAAAAGGATTTGAATCAGAACGGCTGGTAGAATTTTGTATGCGCCAAAATTGATTTTTTTTAAGGAAAAAGTCACATTAATTAAAATGAAAAACTATAAAGTCTGGAGGAACATATTCCCACACCCAACGTTGAGCAACTGCTCGACGGGCTAACACATGAGCAACATCATTCAAATCTCGACAAACATGAGAGATACAAATTGAACGGAAAGACGATAAAAATAACCTACACTCCTCAATAACTGAATCAAAGTACGAGCGAGAATTGGTGGCGTGGTTGATGGCATTCACCACCATCCAGCTATCAGAAAAAAGCTGCACCTCCAAGCATGCCTCTCTCTTTAACCAGGCCAAAGCCTCTCTAACCGCAATTGCTTCTGCTAGAAAAGGATCTTGAGAACACGGAATAGTACTGTTATATGCTTTCAGAAACCTATGCTATCAGAAAAAAGCTGCACCTCCAAGCATGCCTCTCTCTTTAACCAGGCCAAAGCCTCTCTAACCGCAATTGCTTCTGCTAGAAGGGGATCTTGAGAACATGGAATAGTACCGTTACATGCTTTCAGAAATCTACCACCTGGGTCAAGAAGAACAGCACTGAATCCTATCTCTCCGACCTGAGGAAACAAAGCGGCGTCAACAAAGCAATGTCGCACCTGCCCTGAACTTTGCTGCCCTAGAATAGAGCAAGACGGCCGAGTCAATTGCTGCCCCAAACGGCTGTCCGGCCAACGTTCAACCAATGACTTAATCAACCGAATAGTTACCACCGGCAGCGAAACCCTTCCATCCCAAACTGCTGCATTACGAGTCTTCCACAACGCCCAAATTGCATATACAATAACTTTAAGCTCTCCCATTGACCTTGAACCAATAAGCCCTTCAAAAAAATGTATAAAAGAGCCCAATGTGTTGGACAATGTGCTATCATGAATATATATTTTTGCAATGTCCTTTGCCCATTGTCTTTTAGGTTTTGATAATGACAAAAAGGTGACAAAACATCATCATCATATTGTGCATCAAGGCTAAGAATCAAAGCTACAACAAGTTCATATCCGTCCGTGAAGAAGGGACTTGAGCATCGGTGGAAGGAACGAGACCGAAGAGGTTGTTTTCTTAGTTGGGTAGTGTTTTAGGTCTTAGATTATGTGTTAAAGAGTATGGCATCTCTAAGATTCATTCCCTTATCATCCTACCTTTAAAACACATTTTTTTCTAGCAAACTATTCGAACAAATTGCAAACTATTCGAACAAATCCCTGAACTTCTTTTCTGACTTAGTTGAATAAATCCAGAACTAGTTGAATAAGTATTGGTTTTTCAATCTGATTTATTCGAATAAATCTCAATTTATTCGAATAAGAACTGGTTTTTCAAGCCACACGATTGATCCAAACTATTCGAATAGTTCTTGAGTTGTTCGAATAAGTCGACAGTTTCAGCTAGTTTTTTGAATTCTTTTCATCTCTATCCACTCCCTAACTTCTATAAACAACCCTCTTTCGTGATTATCTTCATAAGAGCACTAAGAACACTTTGAATAACATATCCTTTGAATATCCAAAGAGATTCTACTCAATTCCCTCCTTATATCCAAGCAAGGCAATTGTTTTGATTGCTAAATCATTTCTNTGGGAGAATTACTCGGTTGCGGTTTGTTTTCTTACTTTATTGTAAGGGATTTGTATTCTTGGTGTTGGGATTACACCAAGTGGTAGAAATCCTAACGGTTTGTGAAATCAAACGTTAGGTGGAAGAAATCCTGAGTTTTGTGAAATCAAAACTTCGGTGGTAAGATAAGAGGCTTGTGAAATCAAGTTCTCGAGTTGTATTCGGATTGTCAAACTCCGTTAAGTTTGACGGGTTAGTGAAGGCCTGGGCACGATTGCTTCAGGGACTGGATGTAGGCATTAGGCCGAACCAGTATATATCGTGTGTGCATTGCTCTTATCCTTCACTTTATTATGCTTGTGGTGCATTGATTTTATTGAATATTCGTGAAGAACGTTTCCGCGCAAAAAACTGATCTTTTGAGCAACACCTCTATTCACCCCCCTCTAGAGGTGTGCGAGGCGTCTAACACAATGTATATATAAAAGATGTATGTCAAACCCTGTTACAACCCATTCAAACAAATACAAGTACAAGCTTATTTACTAATTACTCGGTAGCACTTCCATTGGAAGATGAAGATTAGGAATGTAACACACCCAACTCCCCGGACCAAATTCGTCGCGACCCGTCGCGTTGGAAGGTCACAGAGATGGTAAGTAGAGAATCATAGAAAACTTTTCCAAATTCTTTTAAATAAAAACCTTTGTCATCTTTTTGTAAACAAAATCTTTTGGGAAATTAACCCCTAAATACGGAGTGAAACAACCAGTCCAAACACGGAAGCAAACAGAGTCCAGTTCATGAAAATAAATACGACAAGTGGTGAAGCGTGGAAGAGTGAAACGGTCCACTGCCTCACCGATGGTCGACCGTGACCCCGACTGTTGCTCGGACACTGTGAACGGTCCACCGTCCATGACAGCGCTCGACTGTCGCAATGGCAGCGACGGGTAGTGAAACATTCTAGAGTCTATTTTTACATCTTTTCGTCTCGTTTTCGTTGAGTTATTAACATGGATGTTTAATCATATACTCCCTCCGTCCCGGAGTATTCGTCTAGTTTTGACTTCTGGAACTGTTCATCTAAGCACTTTGACTCATCAAATTCTCTCAATGTGTAAACCTAAATATAGTCATGTGTGATCTTGTTTGATTTGTCTTAACATATAGATTATTAATACATAATTTCTATAATTTTTTTAATATACAAATTGCAAGATAAAATGGGTTAAAGAAGTGTATTGGATGGTGTGCAAAAATGAAAGTGGACAAATACTCTGGGACGGAGGTAGTATTTCCTAAGATTCATAGATAGATTCCAACCAAATTTGTGGATACATGGATGGTAAAAAATGATTAACGAGCCTTGGATTGCGACGTAGATTACGAACAAATAATCCTATGCATGTAACTATATCGAATATAACTACGAATTCTAATGCTAGAGGGGCAACGTACTCACCTCTAGAACGTACGGTTGGTGGATGAAGACTGTTGTAATTAAGACTTGTGTGACTCAAGTCTTGTTGTATAAAGTTGAGGCTTGTGTGATTCAAGTTCTTGAGTTGTATCGGTTTTTCAAGCACCCGTTGAAGCTTGAAGATTAGTATAACCTTTGAGAGAGTCTCTCGGAGGAATGGACTAGCCACGAGGTGGTGAACCAGTATAAATCACGGTGTACTCCTTTCCCTTGCTCTTTACATTTTTCCTGCGATTTTTCTATTATTATCACACACGTGATTAACGCACATTCTAGCAAACAACTCTATTCACCCCCCTCTAGAGTTTCACTTTTGTCTAACACAAAATAAAAAGCCTAACTGTATAGAACCAGACCAAGACTAGAACTGACGGGTTTTGGTACCAAATCCCTCCCCCTGGAACCAAACCCGCCTAACTTGGTCACGATTCAAGTCTGGTGTGGTGCGGGTGACAGGAACGGTGTGGGAACCATATATTCTGATTCTGGTCTCGATTTAGAACCATCATTGTGTCCATCCCTACTTTCTCTCTCTCTATTCTTCTAATTGATATTCATATGGAGTGATATTTTTGTAAGGAGTGAATCATAAATCTAACAAATTAAAATGCATCATCAATATTTTGAGTAAATACTGAGAAAATACTAGAGTATGTGAAATGAATATTGAGTTACTCATAAATGAGTATGTGTCAGATGTATAGCAAATATCGTTCATCCAAGTGTACAACAAATTAAAAGATTATTTGTGCAACCAAAATTTTATATTTGATTCAATTTTTAGTATCGAGTAAAAATCAAACAAAAAAAATAGAACCACCCCTGCATATTATGAAACCTGCCCTTGGTCTCAAAAGAACCATACTTAAAGTAAGGGTGCCTTTGATTGAATAGAAAATGGAGAGAAAGAAAAATAGAGAAAAGACTCAACTTGAGGTATTTTCTCTAGTTTGGATGGAAAACAAAAAGGTAGAAGGTAAAAGGAAAACAGAATGAGCCCCGCATAAAATATTTTTAAAAATCGTCTAAAATAGAAATAAAACATATCCTTTTTTTAGTAGGAGTAACGAATCTCCGAAATAAGATTTTGCAGCATGATAATGAGACACTTATTATACGTGAATATTACTGATATTGAAGATCCTATTTTGGAAATTAAATAAAAATATAAATATCATATTTTAATTCTTTTTCTATGTTTTACTTTTATTTTATTTTTTTGAAACATTCTCTCTATATATATTTGAAGAAAATGGCAAGGAGAGCAATCTCTTCTTATTTCTTTACCTTTTTCTCCTATTTTTTTTAATTTTTTTTCTCTTTGTTTTCTACGCATGTAACAATAATTATTTTCTTCTCGATTATTTTTTCTCTATTCTCTGCCATATGCAATTTCTCTCTATTTTCACTTATTTTCATTTCTTCTTTTTCTCTCTTACAGCATGTTTGAAAACTAAAATTTGGATTTGGAATCTAGATTTCGTTCAAATTTCATGTTTGGAAATCTAAAAAATTTGTATCTAGATTTGAGACAAATTATTGTGATGCATCACAAAGTTAATTATAAATTCATATCTCTTACTTTGTAATTTGACATTTAAGAATTAAAATTTTAAAATTAAAATAGAGTAATTGAAATGAAATATCGAGTATTAGTTTTCAAACACTACATTAATCTAAATAGAGCAAAAATATTAAGAGAAATTTATCTATATAGTATTAGGACATAGTGAATGTTCACTGGACATTTTTCAATGTCTAGTGCATATTGTTCAAGTAAATATTTACCGCCAATACCACCACAAGACATTGTTCAAAATCAATTTTCACCATCACTGAATATAATACAAATACTATTTAAAAATAAATAAATTTTTAATACTACATTAGGAAAAGACTTATATTTTAATTCTTTTCACAAATTTTAATGTAAGACTAAGAATCCCTTAATCCCAAATTAATACGAAGTACTCCGTACTTGGTATAAGGTCTGTTGGTCGAATAAGGGTCATCAAATGCCATGTGACTACTGACCACCAGCTGTGTCCACTGCTTCCTCTTATCTATGGAGGAAAACTACTAAATAAATAAAATACTGAAATTACCAACGTTTCTGCAGAACTCCAACATAGGATTACACTGTAAATCCTTGTAAACCTTCATTAATTTAGCTTTTGACCCTCTTTCTTCTCCCTCCTATCTTCTCTGTTAAAACACCATATCTCTCTGTCTCTCTCGTTCTCTCTCTCATGGAAGCATGAGAGCTCATGAAAAGATAGAGAATAACACCATAAACCAAAGATGAAGGCTGAAATCACCAATATTTTTTCCTCCTCTTTCTCTCTGAACCCAATCTCTGCTTCTCTGCACCCTCTCGTCTTGCTGCTCATCTTCTTTCTCCCTCCGGCCTCCCCAGCTCATCTTCCCAGGGACTCCCAGAGATTACTCTCCTTCAAAGCTTCCATTCCAGACCAAACCCAGCTCCCAACCTGGGTATCCATCGCCGGAGCAAATCCATGTAGCTTCGCCGGAGTCACATGCAGGGGCTCGAGGGTCTCTTCCATAGATCTCACCAACGTAATGCTCAGTACAGACTTCGCCACGGTTTCCTCTCACTTGCTGGGTCTTGAGAGCTTGGAGAGTCTTGTGCTGAAGAACACAAATCTGAGCGGCTCCCTCTCCTCTGCTTCGGAATCCCAATGTGGGGCTTCTCTGAGGTACTTAGATCTTGCTGAAAACTCAATCTCAGGACCTGTTTCTGATGTTTATAGCCTCTCTGGTTGCTATAATCTCAAAAGCTTGAATCTTTCAAGAAACTCCGTGGACCTACCTGTGACGGGCGGCGGCGGCGGGGAAACCCTCAAGATTCAGATTCTTGATCTTTCTCATAATAATATTTCCGGGCAGTTTGTCTTCTCTTTGCTGCCGCCGGAGCTCCAGTTCTTGTCCTTGAAGGGGAACAAGCTCTCCGGGAACATCCCGGAGTTGAGTTTCAAGAATCTGTCTCATTTGGACCTCTCTGCAAATAATTTCTCCACAGAGTTTCCTTCGTTCAAAGACTGCTCCAGCTTACAGCATCTGGATTTGTCATCCAACAAGTTCACTGGTGGTGATATTGGGGAGTCTCTCTCTTCTTGCTCCAGCCTCACTTTCCTCAATCTCACCAACAATAAGTTTTCCGGCGAGGTTGCGAAGCTTCCTAGGGGGAGCTTACAGTACTTGTACCTTAGGGGGAATGGCTTCCAGGGGTCGTTCCCGGAGCGTATTGGCGAATTGTGCAGCACTCTTGTGGAGCTGGACTTGTCATTCAATAATATATCTGGTAATATCCCACAGACCCTCGGCGAGTGCTCTGGTTTGGAGCTTCTTGATCTGTCAAATAATTGTTTCTCCGGCGAGTTGCCGGTTGAGACACTAGTGAAGTTGAGTAGCTTGAAGACTCTTGTGCTTTCATTCAATAAATTTGTGGGTGGCTTGTCTGGGTCGTTTTCTAGCCTGGTAAATCTGGAGACTTTAGATTTGAGTTCTAATAATATATCTGGTTTGATCCCCTCTGGGATTTGCAAGGATCCCAAGAATAGTAGCTTGAAGGTGCTGTACCTTCAGAACAATCTGTTCAATGGCCCAATCCCTGAGAGTCTGAGTAACTGTTCACAATTGCAGTCTCTTGATCTCAGCTTTAATTACCTGAGTGGAAAGATCCCTTCCAGCCTCGGGTCCTTGTCGAAGCTCAAGGATTTGATCATCTGGTTGAACCAGCTGGAGGGCGAAATCCCAGATGAGCTCATGTATTTGCAGTCCTTGGAGAACTTGATTCTTGATTTCAACAATCTGTCGGGATCCATCCCGGAGAGTCTCAGCAAATGTGGTAAACTGAACTGGATTTCTTTGTCCAACAACTTACTGACAGGAACCATTCCAGCTTCCTTGGGGAACCTGTCGAACCTCGCCATCCTGAAACTTGGGAACAACTCCATCTCAGGAACCATACCTCCTGAGTTGGGGAACTGCAAGAGCCTGTTGTGGTTGGATCTCAACACCAACTCCCTCAATGGCTCTATCCCACCTGCTCTGTTCAAACAATCTGGAAACATCGCGCTGGCTCTGCTCACTGGGAAGCAGTATGTTTACATCAAGAACGATGGGAGCAAGGAGTGCCACGGCGCAGGGAATCTGCTTGAATTTGGTGGGATCAGGCAGGACCGGCTGGACAGGATTTCGACCAGGCACCCGTGCAACTTCACTAGAGTCTACAAAGGGATCACCCAACCCACATTCAACCACAACGGTTCCATGATCTTCCTCGACCTCTCTCACAACAAGCTGGAGGGGAGTATCCCCAAGGAGTTGGGTTCCGTGTACTATCTCTCCGTTCTGAACTTGGGCTATAACGACCTCTCGGGTCAGATTCCCCAAGATCTTGGAGGGTTGAAGAATGTTGCGATTCTTGATCTGTCACACAACAAGCTCAACGGGTCGATTCCCCAAACTCTGACCAGCCTCGCATTGCTAGGGGATATTGATCTGTCCAGCAACCAACTCTCTGGAGTGATACCCGAATCGGCCCCATTCGACACCTTCCCGGATTATAGGTTCTTCAACAACTCTGGCCTCTGCGGCTACCCCCTTCCCAACAAGTGTGGTTCGGAGTCGAGTTCCCGATCCAACCAGCACAATAAAGAGAACCGCAGACACGCGTCGGTTGCTGGAAGTGTGGCCATGGGTTTGCTGTTTTCTCTCTTCTGCATCATCGGCTTGGTCATAGTCGCAGCAGAGGCAAAGAAGAGGAGGAAGGAATCCTCTGAGGGCTCTTCCCTGGAGATGGGGAGCCATTATTCCGTTTCAGGAGCTGCAAACAACAACACCGACTGGAAGCTGACCAGCATCCGCGAGGCTCTGAGCATCAACCTTGCCACCTTTGAGAAGCCTCTCAGGAAACTGACCTTCGCGGATCTTCTGGAAGCCACCAACAATTTCCACAACGACAGCCTGGTCGGGTCGGGCGGGTTCGGCGACGTCTACAAGGCCCAGCTGAAGGACGGCAGCGTCGTCGCCATAAAGAAGCTCAAGTACGTGAGCGGGCAGGGTGACCGAGAATTCACCGCCGAAATGGAGACCATTGGGAAGATCAAGCACCGGAACCTTGTCCCCCTCCTGGGGTACTGCAAGGTCGGCGAAGAGAGGCTTTTGGTGTATGAATATATGAAATACGGAAGCCTCGAGGACGTCCTCCGCGACCGCAAGAAGAGCGGAATCAAGCTGAATTGGGCCGCGAGGAGGAAGATCGCAATCGGAGCCGGGAGGGGACTGGCCTTCCTCCACCACAGCTGCAACCCTCACATCATCCACAGGGACATGAAGTCAAGCAACGTCTTGCTGGACGAGAACTTGGAGGCTAGGGTTTCGGATTTCGGCATGGCCAGGCTGATGAACGCCGTGGACACCCATTTGAGCGTGAGCACCCTGGCGGGCACCCCCGGGTACGTCCCGCCCGAATACTACCAGAGCTTCAGGTGCTCAACAAAGGGGGACGTGTACAGCTACGGGGTCGTCTTGCTTGAGCTCCTCACCGGGAAGCAGCCCACGGACTCGCCCGATTTCGGGGACAACAATCTGGTCGGGTGGGTGAAGCAGCAAGCAAAGATTCGGATTCGGGAGGTGTTCGACCCGGAGCTGTTGAGAGAAGACCCGTGCATAGAGCTTGAGCTTCTAGAGCACCTCAAGGTTTCGGTCGCTTGTTTGGATGACCGGCCCTTCAAGCGCCCCACGATGATTCAGGTCATGGCAATGTTCAAGGAGATTCAAGCGGGGATTGATTCTTCGTCCACAATTGGTTCAGTAGATGGCGTCTTTCAGGGGGTTCCCGGGGTGGTGAACATGAGCATAAAAGAGAGCATAAAGGAAGGCAACGAGCAATAATATTGAATTCTAGGCAAAGGCAAGGCAATGGATTCTTTTGATCGATGCAAAAAATCTTGTTGTATGTATGTACTACTATTAGTGAGTGAGTTATGCTGGGAAAAATGACAAAAAAAAAATAAAATAATATTTGTTATCATATGATAGATTTGAGGTTGTTATTACACTGCTTGTAACTGTTGTACATACATAAAAGTAGGGATGGGATTTTTACTAGTTTGAGTTTATCAAGTACTCTTCTCCTTCTTTCTTCTGCCGCGTGATGTGTGATTTTGTCCCTCCCTCCAATAATTAGAAGGGTAAACGCAAACATATGTTTCCCTTATTTTCCCACCATGTTTCTTACTCACTCTACCTCCCTCCATCCATGATTATAATTTAGTATTTCTTCATACTTTTTTTCACAAGCTAATGAGACACAATCAGTCAATGCTCGAGGTTTGAATTTGGGCAAAGTTAACCGTACCATGAATCTTGGAGAGTGTTATTTCTACCATTCAAGTCTAGGGAGAAGTTATGATAAGTAATTCTTTCAGTAAGCAAATGTTTATCTTTTCAGTATCACGATCTTTGTACATTAGAGATTCTCTTCGGGTCAAGCTAGTGCGGGGGGTTATCGGGTGATTAACGGATAAGAAGAGTTGATTTTGCGAATGAGACAGCGTAGATATTCCAATCGAGCCAATGTTATAATAACATTTGATCCTAATGTCAAAAAAGCAAACTCTATGTACTCATTGTAAATATTTCTTATAATAATAATTGTCACTACTTGTTTTATTGAATTTGTTAATTTACTTCGTCTAGATAAAATATTTTGATAAATAAATCTAGCAAATTTGTTTTTATATGTGAATGTCTAATATCAATTTTAAGAAATTTATGGTCAAAATTTGTCAATTTTAACTATTAAAATTTAAAATTGACAAACATTTCAGAATATAGGTAATACTTTTAAAATAAATAATTTTTTTTACATTTAACATAGATATCAAACTAACTTTATATCTTATATCGTTAAATGAAAATTAAACTTTATTAAGGTTGAGGGAGTATAACAGCCTGTTTGGAAGTGAGAAATGAGAGAGCAAAAGAAAGGAGAGAGAACTATTTTCGAGGTGTTTTCTTCTGTTGTGTTGAGAAAATTGAGAAAGGAGAGGAAAAGGTGAGGCAGAAGGCTAAAAACATTCACACCTCCATGGGCGAGAAAATATTCGGGCTGGTGAGAATACTTATGAAATGACAAATTTATCCTTTCGCCCTATCTTTACCAATTATTCCTTTAATCCCCGTCCTATGGACAAAATTGTCTTTTTAATTTATCATATTTTCTTTCTTCACACTCTTCTCATCATTTTCTACCCATTCAAACCATCATTAATTTCTTTATATTATCTTCTCATTTTCTCTCCTCACCATTTTTTATTCATCCTTTTTTTCTCCAACATTTCTTTTTTTCATCCAACAAAGGGTAACTTCAAGCTAAAATGAAAAAAAAGTATGGTACAACTTGCTAAGATCAGAGCTCACTTCTTTTGATATTAGAAGTAAATGTCATAATATGACATTGATTTTAAATGGGATACTTATGGCTTCTAATTCAAAAAATTGATGTTTCCTATTCCTTGATAAATCTGTCCCCCCTCCACCCCAGCCTGACCCAAATTAACCCATCACTTCTTTCAATTGCACCCTTAAAATTCTGTTGATTTTGAGGCCATATTTTTTAATTAAATTTGAAGAATGCAACTTAAGGAGATGGGGGTCGGGATAGGATAAAGAGGTTTATCGGAGAATTTAGTGGTAGAAACTATCATTTTTCAGAATAAAGCACCATAAGCCTCCCCGAGCTAATGTCAATATTAAGAGATTTAGCCGAATGTTAAAAGCAGTAAACTCTTTAAAAAGTACTCCCTATATCGGCATCATCCCCCAATATGAAGGGTCCCCTGGATTGGGGTTCATTTTTTTCCATGGTCATGCCAATTTTCTTGGTTTCTCCTAGCATTAAAATGTCAGGTTGATCTACCGATTTCTACGGAGTATAAAATACGGCAGAATAGGGGAGTATTATTTTTTCCCTGGCGTAGACGCGTACGTTCGCGCAGAGAGGAAGAAACGCGCGAGAAGAAGAAAGGATTTCAACGAAAGGTCTCCTGCGGTTTTAGAGTCAAATTCGATGTTCTATATCCACCTTGGACCCCGCCAGGGGCTGCCGCCCCTTGGACCCCTTTACCCAAGGGCTGCCGCCCCCGGACCCCTGCTACCCCCAGGGGCTGCCGCCCCCAGTGCGCACTTCGCACCTCCTAAGTCGTTTTGACAACATCTATTTAAATTCTAGTTCGATCTAAATAAATCCAACCACACAAAATAACCGATGACACTAAAATCACCAACATTGTATACTTCGCATTTGTCCAATTTTGACTTTTTTTAATCAATCATTTTCAATATTTGATACTTCGTATATAGTTAAATAAAGTATATTGTATATTGATTAGATAGAATAATATTTTGAAAATGTTTTACGGAGTATAAAATCAATCTAATAAAGTTAATTTTGTATCAATATCTAATATCATTTTTATTTAATTTTAAATTAAAGTTTATCAATTTTGATAGATAAATCAAAAGTAGACAAATACTAAGAGACGAAGGAAGGAGGATTATGTCCGGAAATATGATGTCAAAATAGTGTTTAAAGGTTGGATTAGGGGAAGACAAAAAATGCTACTACCAGTGACAACGATATGAGAGTTACCTAAACCACAAAGCTTTCCCTTGAACCCGCAACTATAATTACATTATTAAATTATTTTTGTAAATTGCTCTCTTCCTACTAAAATACAGCGGATTTTTTGTGATTTAATCTTTTGGAATTTTTAAAAAAATATAAAAAATGTAAAAAGACTAAAAAAGAGTAAAATATTGAGGTCAAAGCAAAATAAAATTTTCATATTTTTATCCCTAAAATATGATTTATAATGTCAATAATATCAACATATAGTACAAGTTAATTGTAACAAATCTCAATATACAGTGTTACATTATCAAAGTGTAATAGTCTTATATTAGGGTAATCTATGTCATTCTTATTTCGAAGATAATGATTATTTTTGAGAAAAATGCACCCTTTACAACCGAACTTTTTGGAAACTGAATTTAGAAAAAAATATTATTGTGAATAACATATTCATTCTATAATGAAAAGAATAAGAAAATATTGGTTTGATTTTAAATAAAGGAGAAAATATAGATACTCCGTATCATTATGGAAGGAACCAAGTATATAAGAGTTCAAATTTTTTTACTCTGTAGTCATAAATATTACCCGTATCTTATTCTCAATGTAACTGTGTAAGTGCACGTACGGTGTGTAGCACATATCACCAACATTATAATCTTTAATTCAGCTAGTATAATAAGTTTTATTAATTGATTAGTGGATAAGTTTTGAAAATCTATCTCATTTCTTGGTCAATTTTTTTGACAATTATAAGATTTGAAATTCGGAAGGTGCCTACCAGGTAAACGTTTCCTCAAGAGTCTTTGGAATTATTTTCCAAATTGGAGTACATATTTGCACATGAATTCACTAAGAAATACTCCCCCGTTAAGAAATGTTCTTCCCATTTTTCTTTTTGGTTTGCCCGGAAATATTTTTTCTCATTTTCTTTTTTAATCTATTTTTTAAGAATAAATTTCAATATAATATCTTTCTATTTTACAACTAATTATAAAATTCACTTTTTTATTGCTTTTTTTGATAAGAAAAGAGGTTTTAAAAATTTATAGTACGTGAACTTTTGGAAATTTGGCACTTTTTTTACTACTCTTTAATAGGCGTTTCAAGTCAACACGTGAAAAACATTTTCGGACGGAAGAAGTGATTAATGAATGGTAGTTATTTATTCATTTATTTAATTTGTTGGGGTATACTCCGTATAATACTACCTCCGTCATAATAACTTTTTTCACTTTAGAAGAAGAAAGTGAGAATTAGAAATGTGTAGTTTTTTGTGTTACTTTCTAAAATAAGATTTAGATTATTAGTAAATAAATATGATGTGATAGATTGATAGCTATGTTAATAAATAGTGGGAAAAAAGGATTTTAATTAAAGGTGAAATTGCTTTTTGGAAATGATGAAAAGGGAGAGTAGATAGGTTTTTTTTTGGATAGAGAGAGTACAATTTAAATGCACAAAAATGCTGGACAAAGTATCCATATACTATCTAAAAATATTCAAATTAGACCATGTATTCAAAGTCGAAGTAATGTAGTCCATAATTTTCAGAACCGGACCGGGGACCGAACCGGTCAAGGTACTGGTTCACTGGTCGGACCAGTGGTTCACACATATTTGAAAATTATATATATATATATATATATATATATATATATATATATATATATATATACACACACACACACACACACACACACACACACATACATACATATATATATATATATATATACATATATATATATATATAATATTTACACACACATGAAAAATAATATTTATTGAAATAATACTCCCTTTATCTATAATAAAGAATTTATGATATATTAATAAATTTATAAGAAATTTAATTATTTGAGTAGTAGCATTAAATCGAAACAAATGGATATTTAAACAAATAAAAAATTATAAAATAAGAGGTGATATTTTTTGTTTTATAATTTACACAATATTTTTAAAATATTAAATGAGTTAATAGTTTTGTGATATGAAGTTCATATTAGAATCATTTGCATCAATATAACTAGTAATGTATACTTGTACATTTTTAAGAACGTACGGAGTAATATAGAACTAATAAAGCCTTTATGCAACAAAAGGGATTGTAGCATGGATGGTAGGTAGCCTAACAAGATAAGAAGAGGTTGTGTGTTCAAAATCAACCTCCCATTAGAGAAGATTTTTGAGAAATTCGTGCAAAAAAAAAAAAACTGGTCACTGGTCAAACCGGCCGGTTCTTACCAGTTCGAGCCGATTCAGTGCACATGCCGGTCTTTGGAGCAGGACCGGACCGGTTTGGCTCCCGGTTCGCCGGTTCCCAGTCCGAACCGGCCGGTCCGGTCTGGTTT